ACTTTACTTCCATCGGTGGGAGTTGAGTCAAGAAGAACCGATCCATCACAGCCCTGAAGAACAGCAAAGTTAGCAGACCAGAATTTAAATCTTGCAAAGCTCTCCTGTCAACGAAACAGTTGTGGAAGTGCAAGTGAAGAACTCCTGCTGGTATCGTCCTCTCCCAATCGTTGTGCTTGCTAAGGGTGTCCCTGATGATCCTCTCGGCTTAAGTACAGGATCTCGAGTAACTGTGGTAGCCATTCTTGTGTACTCCACTCTCATCATGAGCCAAAACGCCCAAGCTCAGAGACAGCAGAAGCAAAACCAAAATGTTCCCTCTCCAACTTCCCATCCTCAGGTATTGCAGCTTGGCATGTCTTCTTCCTCCTCGAATTTTCTTGGCAGTGATCGATGATCCGAAGATGAGCATCGTTCTGTGATGAAATGGGCCACTGATACAAGGCTCTTATAATCCAAGCTAAGTCGTCATAAACCGTGTCTGCTGCCTCTGATAAGTGTTTCCATCCTTAAGAAATCCTTTGACACGGTCCAAATACAGGGAAGCTAGCGCTCATTATTTGACGAAGTTCAACCTCTGTACAAGAAATAGGAAAATTCAACCAACTAAAGAAAGGTTCTGAAAGGACATATGTCTGTAGGCTGCGTTTTCTATTCCATTTCCAAGCTTTCACTTTGTTGTGTTTGTTAAGCTTTTTCTTTTTCTTCTTCTTCACGATGTTCTTGCCCTTCTTTTTCTTCTTGTTTTTCTTCTTTTGGTCTATGATGCTCAATGGTCAATGCTAAATGTATAATGGGTAACGAGATATGAGTCCGATAAGCTTGCCAATTTGAAATCTTCATTGTTGTCCATTACTTCGTTGCTGGCTACAGGTTAGTATTTATAATTTGTGATATTATTACTTTATCTGGTGTTTGTAGGAGGACTGCCTTGGATCCCAACAACACAGTTTCTTGCTACAACAGAGGCCATGAATTTTCGAATCTGTAAGAATTTAAAAAAT